GATGTCCTTCAGTTTTGAGGGACGATCTTCTTACTAGCACATGATCTATTTCCGTTTCTTTCCCTCCACTGCTGTAGGTTACCTTCGGGACTTCCTTTCCGCGAAGAAGGTGCTGCAGACTGCCAAGTCAAGGGCTATGGCCAGGGCAAGAACCCTCTCTCCTTCGATCCTGACTCCTACACTTCTACCTCCACGGACTCTTTCCAGTCCCCTCCTTTCACTGCCGACGTGACCATTCAGATCACCTGTTATGGTGAGGTAGTCCCCATTCTGAACCTATCGGATGGCATCGTCAAGGCTCAGATAGAACTCATCCTTTTCGTAGATGTGGCAGCCGGTTGAAGTGCGTACACTGATTCTGTCCAATACCCCTACTTCGTGTCTATCCTCACCGCCATGATTCGACTGGTAACCTTGTTGGCGGTGGAGACAGAGTCTTTCAGGGACTCTGCCACTGCTATGGCCACACTATTTCGTCTTCTCCGTTGTAGAAGAGCTTGACACCCTCTCCGATTTCTCTGGCCTTTGATCCCTTCCAGCGGGTCTCCTGAAGACGTAGGGCTTGGATGTTCCTGCGTTTCATAAGATCAGCGACCTTCCGGGATTTCCCAGTAAGCGATCTCACATTGAGAGTCCCTATTCGAACTAACTTCTTTGGCCGAGGTCGTTCACTCCTCGGTAGCCCTCGCATACTGTCCACAGAAATCGGGCGGGGGTCCTGTGCGCCACTTCCGAGTGACGTCCTAGCTTTATCACTGATACTCTTTGAGACTTTAGACATATTTGTTGTGACTGGTTTCTCCATCAGCCGGCCCGTCAACCTGGGCCTGACGCTGGTACTGATACCATTTTGCAATTTTTGCAAGGCATGGAGTTGCCCCGGCAGGGATCGAACTCGCACTCCCTCTAAGGGCAGGTGTGAGCCTACACTCTTATCAACTCGGCTATCCTTGCCTAAGAAAGTGATCCTCTCATAGAAAGTAAATCCTTAAAAAGGAAAACATAATCACCACTTTGGGAGATTTTTTTCAGGCAGACTAAATAAATTCAATATACATATATTTGCAGTCTACCGACACAAACTACTGTTTTCAGGATCACAAGGTGCCCTACACCATCGTTCAAAAGTTCTCAGGATGTAGGAAATCATCGGAAAGTTCGCGTCGAGCTTGTCCAGCGTGATACAAAGGACTTTATTATTTAAACTTTTAGGAATTCATGTTTATGATGTGATAACCTAGAGTTTCGATTACCTTTCAGTATTCAACTTTTGTAAGAGTAGAAAATATTGGAATATTTTATTGACTAAAAACTTTGTTCCAGAAAAGTGGCCAGTGTTCAACTGTTGCATCTTACACTGTGAAGTTCACTCGTTAGCAAAAATTGAAGAAATACAAGGGCTATCCCTATGTATACGCTCACAGCTGATTTGTGGGATCGGGATTATTATGTTGCGATCATTGGTCTAGACAATCAGCAAAAAAGATTTTAAACTTTTGTTTGATTTCTTTTTTTTCAAGTGTTCTAAAGAAACTCATATTGAATAGCCGAATTTTTAGACATTCCTTGAACAAACTGAAGCTCGTTTCGTGAAAGGTTATGGTGCACTCAATCCTGCAAGAATAACAAGCACAGTGGGCTTAAATAGTAAGTAAATTACACTAAAATCTGTGAAACAAGACTTTCTTTCGTTTCTACATTCCTTCACTTCATTTGTTTGCTTTTACGTATAACTGTATAAGTCATCTACCGTTTTTCATTGATTAAATTGCTTTATCCGCTAGATTTTCATTTATGTCTTCAAATTTTATTCTGCTTTTTTTCGTATTTTGCGTTTATATTTACCAATTGCTTGAACTTTTTGCAATTTCAAATATTTAGTCGGTAAAGTCGAAATCAACAACACCTGTCTTAATTTTCGAGGATCTTGGTGGGCAAGAAGATTGGGTTAACTATGACGATGAAGCTAATGCACTCATTTTTGTTGTTGACGCAACGAGAAGAGATCTGTCTGATGAAGTGGCTATGGTATTCAGTGAGCACCTTCTCCGCCAATCTTTGTTTCATTTAGCTTTTTCCAGTTTTAGAGTATGATATGTCGAATGAATACATGCGCATGATGCCTGTACTAGTCGCTGTAAACAAAAGCGAGATTGAAAGTGCTGCACCCGGCTGCCGAGATGTTTTTCTTTACTTCTGTGTTTTCTTCAGGGTTTCATACTTTCAACGTTTTCTAAAGTTCCAATAAATTTATTTGCTTGTTTTGCCGCCATGTAATACGTTAAGCTCTGGGAAATTGGGCATTGTCAGGGATAACCTCTGGATTTGCAGAGTAGGCCTCAGATCGATACGACTTTCCTGTTTGATGCAAGGAAACGCGTCCCGACCGTGTAGGATCTAAAGTTTGGAGATCTTTTTCATCGGCATGATATCTATTTAGCCATTTCTAAGGGGAACATAGTCTGGGAGATCCTCTTACGTTTAAAGTTAGAATAGACAGGACTTTTAATGGTAAACTGCCTTGCGGTAAAAATTAATGTCATGCTAGTGGTCTAAGTAACAAACTTTCATGAAATCCCAGCAAAAACACATTTTCACACTTTAGGATTGTAATTGTCAAATCATTGTCAAAGAATACTTTTTTGTTTGCCTGACCGCAGGATAATTGCTTTCAGGAGAACTGAGCAAGATAATGTCTTTGGTAAAAAATGCCCACTTCTGATTACTGCACGGGCGGTTAAAACCCTCACAATCACCCATCGGTCTGCTCACTTGCTTATCTACACTTTATTTGCCATGAATTACTCTACATTTAAAGGCATCTCTGTTTATCTCAAAACTATCACGTTGTAAAATAATGCAAACAACTTGAAGATAATTAAAAACAACATGAAGAGTGATGCAACATTAACCCTCCATATATAAAACCACGGACAATTGCGCGTAAGTAAAAAAATGTATTCGCTGGTTGAAAAAGAACTCACCTTGAGCGTTCGAAAAGGAATCCAACATAGAATGAGGAAATCGCTGGATCGCGAGTACACACCGCTTGTACTTGAGTTGTGATCCTGGAAAAAAACGGGTCAGCTGACGGACAGTCTGCACACAGGTTGGTACTTGAAGAAAAAGTCAAAATTAAAAGGAACATTTTACTGAATCAGTATCGAGTGAAGTAAAAGTTATACTAGAGGGACCAACAAACAAATACTATACAAAAAAGTAACAGAATACCGAACGCAATCAAATCTCGCCACCGGCTGCCGTTCGAATAATTTTCCCGCGCGCGGATGTTTGAATTAGAAACCATGTGACAGCTCGAGGCCAGCGCTTCTTCAGCCGCACTCAATGGTGTGGCGTGCAGGATGTCCAGCTGGTACAT